TAATTCCTCAAATCCAAAAATGTAAAAATCTTGACGGGTCATTTTTTGACTGATCGCCATACTTTCCCTCATATATAACAGCTGGGAATGTAAAAAATCTAGCAAGAACTCATGCTTAAAGGAATCATTAGAAAGTCCGATCATTTTTAGTTATACTAGGATATAAAATTTAAGTAATAAATAGCATAAAAGGAAATTATGATAAAAATTTATTTTAAAAATAGCACGTAAAATGATTTTATATGAAATAAAGTTTGTATTATAAATTATAATGACGATATTCAAGTTAAAAATAGTCCTTGAATAATAAAATAGAATAAAATAGACAAAACCCTGAACAACCGTCGCTGATAGAAAGGTAAAAAATGATTGTTATTTGAAGGTTATTTCAAATGCATTGTTGCTTAAAAAATGCTCTGTTTAGAAATTTGCATTGTTTGCAGGTGTATTTAGAAAAAGCTTTTTAAATTCGATTTTATAAATAATATTTTCTTAAATATTTAAAATATAATTTAAACCAAGATCAGCAAGAAATTTTTATTTTGAGTTTATTAATTATTTGTTTTTTTTAAAATTAATGTTTAACTTAAATATAGAAGCATTACTTACAGTTTTGTCATTTCCTGCTTGATACTGCTACACGTATAAAGTATTTGAACATATTTCTTTTTAAAATAATCCACTTGATTGGAGTCGAGATAAGAAAAAAATGTATTATGTTGCCCAAATTCTCTAAATTCTCCCAAAAAGTTCATGTTAATATAAACTAAAACAATGAAATTTAACAGCAGACATGTTTTTTCAAACACTTTTAGTAGAGTTAATTATTGATTTATGAAACTTACAGTTATATACAGGAATACAGTTATATTTATACAGGGTGTCCCAAAAGTTTCCATACATACAAAGGTAAAATATAACTTACTTTATTTAGAAAACATTAAAATGTCAGTATCAGTAGCGTGCCGTCATTGGAAGCGGTGGATGCGCCGCTTCCCTTGTATTTTCTAAAAAATAAATACATATTAATTTTAATTATACGAAAATAATCGCACAATATTTTACTATAACCGCATTATGTATGTTATTACAAATTTCTATACTACACGTGAAAAAAAGATAAGATCGCTATTGTATATTCGAATATTAGTGGCGGAGTGGAAGCGCAGTATCGTCAGCATCCAAAAAGGCAGATTCGCGTACGCGCATTACAGAGGACCAACCTCACTCGGTTTAGCCGGTGGAAGCCTAGGACTTCGGGTGGATGCTACACGTATACCGCATCCAATTCTATCCAGAACCGGTTCTATCCGGGCTGTTAGCCGCCCACCCGCTAGATATTTGGCCGCCCTCGTCCGGTTACGCGAATCACGAGTAGATTTATAACTTAACCCGACCGATAAGAAATTACTGGTATGTTTCTATGATAGTTCTGTATAGTTGATAAGAGTTAAATAAAAAACCCATTAAAATATTTGATATTCTTATTCCGCTCTCCGATTTTATATTACTCACGGATTTCAATGTTAAACCGGTGATATTACGATTTCGTATATCCTATCTCTAAGGGGATGTAGAAAAAAACGTGTACAATTCTTGTATAATGTTAAAATATTAACCGTTACTTTGACAGCATCATTTACAACTACATTTAACGAATGAGAGAGATGCGCGAGGTACAGAAAAAGCTCTAGAATTTATTTTCCTTAAATTTACGATTTATGTATCCGTTGTCATAAAAATTTGTCTTTCCACTTTTTCCCGAGACTACAAAGTAACTGGTTTCGACATATTTCTACTTAAGAAGTAGTTAAATAATTAAGCGATTAGGAAATTGGGGACATAAACGAAACCCTGATGAAAGAGCCAAAATTTTACTTAAAAAACAGCTTAACCGAACCATCCCTAGCCGAGTACAGTGGAGACTGATTCCTTCGTATTATTAATAACAACAGAAATTTTTCCAGTTCAACGAGAGTGACCGAAAAATTGTAAATTTTGGAAATTTCAGAGGACACTTGGTCCTAAAACGAATTAGTTAGAAAACAAATGACTATTAAGTTTAACATATTTAGATTTTTACAGCTATAGTGAGAAACGTTTAAAATCTACAACAGTCCTGTCGCGTCCTTTGAGATATACTAATGATGCGACAAAAGAGGTATTTGACATTTACCGGTATCGGCACCCTGGGGATTTGGCGGTACGCGTGTATGCACGCTCTGCAACCGTCTTCGATTCCATCCATTAGCCACTCGTAGGGAGCTATTTGACTAAGTGCATTGTTTTAAGATTTAAAAAGTAAAGAATATTTTATATTTTTATGTACGTTTCTTTACAAAGCTATATTTAATTATAATTTTCTTTAAAAGTATATTCATACAATTGAAGAATATTTTGTACCAGGTATGTACCGGTACATCCACCACACATTTTATTTCACCAAGTAAGTTTTTATTATTTTATTTTTAATTGTAGCCCTTATATCGTGGCTAGCGATTCGGAATGTAATTGTGATATTAAAAATGCATTTAGAGAAGTCTACGGTTTTTACTGGCTTATCGAATAAACGATACGAATGGACCCTAGACCATCACTGACGCGCAATTGACTGATTGCCCCTGGATGTCGGCTTCTTACAGAAATAAAGTTTCCCTATCGTCAAATGTCACGACACGCCACTGGTCAGTATTAAGATTTGTGTCAGTGTATAGACGAGTAAGGCAACGGAACACATGGGTGATCTGCCAATGGGGTAACTTCTAGCAGGACATCCTATGTGGAAAGTGGATTCTGTTTAGGTATTAGACACACGAAGAAAACCCATGTGTTATTTAATACTTTACAAAAATAATTTCTTAATCGCTATGAAATTACATTTAGCTCTTATATAAAACTATAGTAAATAATTATTTTTTATTCTTTATTTTTAAGATATTATTAAATATTTAAATTCATAAAAATTTATTCTATTACAGAAAAATATTCGCAATTAAGTTTTTAAACATTAAAGTAGCTTTATAACTTAAAAAAATACTGAAATTAAAATAAAAAAGTTGATAAAAATAATGAAGCTTTTCGCATTATTTAATTTACTAAAGTTGACTTTATTTATTAATTACGGCTTTACAATCAGTAAATATTTAATTATTGAGAGGCAAACTTTTATATTTATTATCTAAAAATGCAATTTAAATGCATTTGAATATTTGATATTTCAAATAAACTGTTTATATTTTGATTAAAGCTTTGAGTTATATATTTATTTCTTAACTAAATCCTATAAAATACTTTAGAATAAATCTTATACATATATATAAATTAAATTCTGAACGTAGGAAGTAGGAAGTACGTTAATCAAATGCAGCTGGTTCTCTTTAAATAAGAAAATTTGCGATTGATGACGTTCAGAATTTAATTAAACATAACCTATTTTAAAATTTATAAATTCAAAGAAATATATACGTAATATGAAATTAAATAAGATATAACTTCTTTCCTGCATTTCTTAATGATTATTTTAAACGAATGTCCTTTCATACATAAATGATACTTTGTAAGTTATATACTCTCTTGTTAAAATATTTTTATCGAATTGTTATTAATTTAGTGAGTTATTAAAGACATTCAAAAAATAATTTAAAAGCAAAGGAAAAAGTAGTAAAAAAATATATCGACATTGATAAGACTGTTACGTGATTGTAATGTAAATAAATCCACTAAAAAGTATATATACAGGTTATAAAAATATTTCACTAGGCCATATCTTGCTTCTGTTACGCGTTACCTAAATACAAGTGCACGAGAGCATAGGTAATCGGTAGTGGGCTATTCGATGGCGTAATCCTCCATGCACCCAAACGTCTTTTCAAGAGGCTACTACGAAAGGTTCCTATGGAAGATCCTACGAAAGATAAGGCTCTTATCTCGGCCGAGGTAGGATAGGAACCGAGATGAAATAAGGGTCCTTTGAAAGATAAAAGCGCAGTTTAAATTACGAAATCTGAAAATTAGTACAAAACTTTTTTTGTGTTTGAAATACTAAAAGAGGAAGCGACTGGACAACCTCAAAGAATGGGTGGCGGTAACTGTATAGTCTTATTTGAATTTTCTTTTCAATTATTGGACTGCAATTTAAAAAACTTGCAGACATAATTTCCACTGTCGTTCGTCCGTCCGTCTGTCTTTCTTTAATTTCATTAATGAAGTAAGATAGATGTGAGACGAGATTAAATTTGGAAACATTACGGGTAGGAGGACCCGACTAACTATACAAGAATTTCCGTTACAAACCAGAAGTCGTGTTATATTAATTCAAATATTTTATCCCGAAAGGTGTTAAATAGATGGCCTACACGACTCTGTTGCTAACAGGAAAAGTATGATGTACAGGGGCACGACGCTACTAATTTGAGATAAAGATCATATATTTCAAATTAAATAAATTAAATATATATATATATGATTAAAAATTGCAATCCGGCATTGTGACGAAGTCACAATTAAATCAAATTATCGAGCATCTAATTTATTTTCAAGAGTATTTTACATACTAATTATAATATTTAATAAAAGTATTAAACGATTTTATATAAATAAATAATTCTTGGATTTTACATATTTTTATCCATTCTAATTTTCAAATATTAACTCAAATTTTATATATTTTTTTTAAATTTCGAATTTTATTTTAGATATTACTAATTAAAATAAATCAAATAAATATTTATAAAAATTAAAAAGAAAATTTAATTGAAAACTCCAGATTTCTTTGTTTTTAAAAGTCATATTTCGTATTTTTAAATTTAATCTTATGTAAGTTAAAATAACAATTTTCTTTTCCTCTACAGCACTCACGCATTGAGATTATTTATTATTATTATTCTTTAACTTAGAGTGAAATCTGATGGCAAAATCTCTGCACCTGCTAAAAAAACACACACAAACGAAAGGTATATATAAGCATTTAGTGCAGATGTAGTAATTCACTTTGGAAAAAATATTCGTGTTACAATGAAAACTGTAGCTTTTTTACTTCTTCTGCAGTCTTTTCTATCTATAAAAGAAGTTTTTGGAAATGATATGCTTGAAAATGGTAAGTGTTTATATATATATTGAAGTATAATTAACTACATTATAACAAAATTTAAGAATAAAATATATTAAATTGTATTAAAGTTCTTAAAATTAACTTTTTATAAATTAATAAACGTAATAACAATTTCTATAATCTTTTATTTTTTTAATATAGATCCAGATAAAGATTGCATGATTAAGTTCAAGAATTGCTTCTTGTCTAGAAATTGTGAATCAAGAGTAAAGTATTTGTTCTATATATTTTTATTTTTATAGAATTATGTGCTAAAAAGATTATTTTTCAGGTAAAATCGTTGGATTATTATTGTTGTAAGAAGTCATTCGAGAATGGCACATACGACGAATCAGTAAGTATTCATTTATATATATTTTTAATATATAAAATAACAGATAATTTTTAATTAAATAATTAAAAATATGCAATAATTAAACAAAATATGCGAATTAGAAATCGTTAAATCGTTATTTTAAAATTATAATTATGCCGTTTAATGTAGCTTGAAGAAGAGTGTCTGGATAACAGAATGTTAACTGTGAGTATTTACTTGTATTTTTTTATAAGATCAAATTTAAAAATTTAAATCATATATAAAAATTGTATAATTTTACTTTAATATAATTTCTATTATATTATTTATTAAACAAAGAAAAATACTAATTAATTAATTACAATAAGGATCTTTACGACTGTTTGGATATGCTTAGTGAAAAATGCGAGAAAAATATAATGAAGTATTTTACAATGGTAAAGTAACATTTTAAATTATTTCTAATTATTATTTTCTTGTTATATTTTAGTATTTTTAATTGCTAACTTTAAAAAAATATATTTAATAAAATGCACTAAGATGAATTAAAATTACATATTCTTATAAATTAATTTTGCTAATAAATGTGTTGGCACTTAAAATTAAATTTAGTCACATATCATTAAATAATATACTTTTATTAGTTTATAATAAGTTATAAGTAATAAATGATAAATTTAATATTGTTTAATCAAGTAAAAAAATTGAATTATACAATTATTTAGAATGAAGAAAAGTTTGCAAAAATTGAAGCTGAGGTAAAAGAAGCTATTGGAGTAAGTTATTGATTTTCTAAATGTTTTCCATAATTTTCATTTTAATTTTTATAATAAATATATTTTAAATTAACCGCATGTTTAAATTTATTTTTTAAAGACTCCAGAAAGCATAAAAGATTGTGTTCATTATGCAGAAAGAGTTGAAGTAAGATAAAATTTTTAAAATAAATTTACTTTACTTGAAAATAAAAATACTTAGTTTAAAAGTTTTCTTTTTCATTGTAAACATTTAAGAAATAATTTAAAATATTTCTTATTTTAATCTCTAAATAATACAGTATAGTTATAAGTAATTTTAATTTATTTATTAGATGGAAGAATGCTTGTTTTGTGTTGATAAAGACGATAACGATAATGTGTATGGTTTTATATGCGATATTATCCGTTCAACTAGAAAATCATGTTAGTATTTTTTATAAAAAATTAATAATAAAACGTAGACTTTCGTATGCACTTTAATGTTAATTTAAACTTCGAAATTTATAGCACCTTATTGTACAAGAGAAAAGAAATGTATGGATGTCTTTAATAACTGTATGTTATCTAAAATTACAGAAGCACAAGTGAGATATCTAAAAATTTAATATAATTCTTCTATCTGTTCTTGTTATAAAAATATAATATTTTAAATTTATAAAAAGAAAAACTTTGATTTATTAATATGAAAAATAATAATTTTAGTTAAACAAAATTGATGTAAAATGTTGTAAACAAGTTCTTAACAAACCAGGAGATTATTTCGAGGTAATTTATTTTTAATTTTTTACAATTTTTAAGTTAAATTATCTTAACCTTTATCTAGATAAGCTGAAAAGATCCTTTTCAGCTTATCTGAGCCTAGCTGAGTGTTGAACCTAGATCGATTGATATCTTTACCGTCTTGCCATCCTATGTCGATAGTTAATAAAAGATAGGTTAAACCAAATTTAAACTTCAAATAATTAAAAGGCACAACTTTTTTAACTCGATAAAAAAAAAGAAATAGCAAAAAAATGGAGATAAAATATATTTTTACACCCGGATTTTCAGGATAAACTTTATTTCCGGAAAACCTAAAGGCTACATTAGAAATACAAATCGTAAAGAAATTAACATTGGTTATACATTAGAACAATTTTTCAAAAGATTTTTTATATAAAAATAAAAAATAAATTAATCAAATTAACTTGTTTAATTCAATTTCAAATTAAACAACTTCTACAGATTTTATTTTTAATTTTAAAAAATTCGCTTAACTTTCTCTGTAACAGTTAATATTATGTCTGGTGCCATCTGTTACGATATTTTACTTTAAAAACTGTTTATATTTTCAATTATTACAAAATGGCAAAATGCTTAATTTTAAGGGTTGGTTTTATAATAATAATTAAAAAAAACAATTGTAAATGTTAATAATGAGTAAGATCTTCATTAAGTCCGATCAGACTCGAGATATGAAAAGTGACCCACTCCTCTATCTCCCACCGTATTAACCTAGAACCACCAAACTTTAGTAGCATCAATCCCCCTAATACATAAACATCTCTGCAAAATTTCAGAAATTTTCGACAAAAAACACGAGAGTTTTTAAGCTTCAAATTGTATAAACAAAATCGCGCATACTAACATCCATGCATACAGGAAAAAACCCCCCAAATATTTTTGGCATTTCAAGATCCCCTGAGTCGAAAAATTACAAATCTTGAGGGGTCATTTTTTGACTGATTGCCATACTTTCTGTCTGTTATACGGTTATATAACAGAATAGGGAAAGTAATACTTATAATTGAATTTATTGGTTATTGAACTTCCACCANTTAAGGTATGAATTACTGTATATAATCAATTTTTTTAGCAGATAATATGAACTACTTAATATATAGTTACATAATAAGTAAATTATTTTAAAGCTCTGTCAAAATAAATACATAATATGTTCTATGTAGAATTGGTTCTATTATTATTTCGAATTGGTTTGAATATTTTCTTTGAAAGTATCAGCAAATTAAAGTAGAAAGCTTATGAATTTGATATATTAGTGTTAATTAATATGAAGCACGGATTGAAATAAAGGTATGGCAAGGCTTCGTGCTTCAGAAATGTAAATAAATGTGCAATTGAATCTAGAAGATGAATGTCAAATCATTGAAGAATGATTTTACATTCATCTTCTAGACTTAATTATAAAATTAATAACTGAAGATAATCGGNTTTATATAAATATATATTTTAGCAATACTTGAAATGTAGTTACTTCTTGCGAGAAAAGTCATCATTTGATCCTGATGTAAAACGATGTATTGAAAAACTCATTAATATGTCTATAATAGTATAATAATTTTTATTATAATATTATTACTATTTTTACTAACAATTTTAAAATATATGTATTTTATTTATTATAGAATAAAGACGATTGTATAGAAGAAGATATCTTACCGGTAATTAATAATTTTACTTTCTACAAAAAAAACAACCAATAATTCGATTTAAACACTAATTTAACAATAATTTTATATCCTTTGTATCATTAGGTACTAATGGAATGTGTATTGGATAATAAACAATATGCACATCAAATACTAAACTATTATAGCAAGGTAAATTTTTATAATGTTTAAAAAAATGAGATAATAAGAAAATAATTAATTTGTATTAATTTTATGTTGATAGAATGAGGAAGCTATCGATGAATTTGACCAAAGTGTAAGAAATAAAACTGGTGTAAGTACAGTACATAAAGTTAATATTCTTATTATTATTAAGGTATGAATTACTGTATATAATCAATTTTTTTAGCAGATAATATGAACTACTTAATATATAGTTACATAATAAGTAAATTATTTTAAAGCTCTGTCAAAATAAATACATAATATGTTCTATGTAGAATTGGTTCTATTATTATTTCGAATTGGTTTGAATATTTTCTTTGAAAGTATCAGCAAATTAAAGTAGAAAGCTTATGAATTTGATATATTAGTGTTAATTAATATGAAGCACGGATTGAAATAAAGGTATGGCAAGGCTTCGTGCTTCAGAAATGTAAATAAATGTGCAATTGAATCTAGAAGATGAATGTCAAATCATTGAAGAATGATTTTACATTCATCTTCTAGACTTAATTATAAAATTAATAACTGAAGATAATCGGCTCATGTTGCTACCTATCTTTCTTTTAAATTAATTTGTTTTTCTTAAAGTAAATAAATAAAAATAAATGTTTCAGTTAATTAATTAATTAAATTTATTATGAAGTATTTATGAAATTATGAAGTTCTTAACTAGTGTGTTATTGGCTTATTTATAAATTAAATATAAACTTAAAATATATTATAAAATAATCTTATAATTTATGCTCAATCAAAATATATATACTGTAATTTGATTGGACACTTCGGAAATGTGAAAACGTTTTAGTATCTTCAAAGTATTTTTAATATGTAGGCTTCAGCCATTTTAATTGAAAATTATAGTTAATATTTAAATTAGATTTAACGTTTTAATTTTTAACTACTAAACTTTTCAGATATGATATTTTTTTTCTAGATTCCTCCAGACGAAAGCAAATGCAACGATTATTATGAAAAGGAAAAGGTGATCTTTTTATTGTTTAATTAATAAATCTAAATAACAAAAACATCCGAGATGTAAAAAATTTACGACTTATGGCAACTTGAATGACAGTCAAGTTTTGTTTTATAAGTTTTTCTTTGGTAAAGATAAGCTTGGCACTTCGAAGTGATATGTAAAAAATACTAATACAGGTGAAAACCCTTCCTGCAAAAATCTGAAATTTTGCACAGTATCTAAGAAACACAATTATCTTTTGAACGATATATTTATAATTACTGTAAGCGTTAGAAATCGACCACAGATAATCGGCACTTCTGATTCCTACGTATATAGTCATTGACTTTTTTACTTGAAGAAGAGTTACTGCTGTGGTTTTCGATCTTTGAGTTAAAAAATAAATATAATATAATTATATTTTCTTTCAAAAGATTCAAGAGAAAATGTCTATAAAGTCATTTATGAAACGATTTTCAAAGATAATATTTATCCGTTAAAATAATTAAACAGATAGATGAAATAAGGCAAAGTAACACATAGGCAACCTTCCAAAGAAGGATTATATCTATGTCAATGTCATTATCATAATGTACTGTACAATTTGAATAAGTATAAATGATTAATATTATTGTAAATTAAAATGTTTTAAGTTACAAATATATACATATAAATTTTTTAAACACTGAATTATGATTTCTGGGAATATTTTCATTTTTAATACATTTTATCTGTTTTTAATGGCAGAGAATAACATTAGAAAAATGTTTGTTTAACGACAATAAGGATCTATTTCCTTTTTGCGAATTACTTCAAAAATTATTATTGAACAAAGATTCTAATAATTATATTCAATATGGGGTAAGTTATTTTCTCTTTTTAATGCCCATAATTTTATTTTATATAGATTTATTTATTACTAATTTATATAAATAACAATAATATCAGTTAATATAATTAAACTTTATGACTTTCAATTTTGATATAATAATCATTTTTTTTTATAATTAATGTTTTGATAGATGAATAACAAACTGAAAAAATAACTTCTTCGAAGATTAGGAGAAGAATAATAGCAAAAACAAAAAGAAAATTAAATGTAAAATTAAATTTAAAGAATAAAAGTGTTTTTAAGATGTAGTTTTATAAAATAATATGAAGTTCTAATTATTAAATATACTTTTAAAATTAAAAATGCTTATAAATGCCATATATTTATAAATAAAGAAAACCATTAAAATTGTTTTTAAACAGTTTTTTTTTAATTCAAGTAAGTTTAGATTTAATTTTAAAAATTAATACAAAATAATACCATATAATATAACAAATGATCTTGTAATTAGGGTTTTGTCATACTCAAGATGGCCAATCGATTTATCTGTAGGATCGTTTGGTGAATCTCTAGACAAATATATTTTTATCAAATTTAAAAATATAATAATAATTAATATATTTTTAAACAGTAAAATACAGACAAACAGCATAGCTTTGATACATGACATTAACTGATATCAATTTAAAACTACAGCTTGTTTAAAATTATATTAAAGATCTACATATAGTTGTATCGCTTATCTCTGTTGACGAATTCTTCTTAATTAATCAAGTAGGCCTATAATTTTCATAAAGTCACAAAACGGTGTCATTCTTTTATCATGTTCGCAAACTATAAAATTTCTTTCCTAAAAAAAAAATATATTTTAAAATTATTTTAAAATTTCAAACAATTAAATTAAAGTTGTATTAAATATAAATATGAATTAACAGACTTTAATTAATTTACACTTTAAAATAATTCATTTTATTTATTTACTTACAAGAATTACTCCTATGAATTGTAAGCACTGCAGCTTGTCTCTAGCACGCTGGAAATTATAAGCAATTATCTCACTATTAATAATAGAATTATAAATATATAATTTGTAATTATTTTTTACAATAATAATTGATTACAAGTAAAAGATAAGATAAGATAATAAAGTAATAATATTAATTTAATTGAAGTGTAGAAAATATCATCTAAAGTGTGATTAACTGGCTTACAACAAACAGCTGAATTCTAAATGCAAACTGATTTTAAGTATTATAATATTTTCTTAACATATAAAAAGAAAAACATAATAAAAATTTTAAAAAATAATGAATAATTTCGAAATATAAAAAAAAATATATATACCTTTATATTTGTTAGCATTAATTGTTCGAAGATATTTAGAATAGACAACAACTGGAAGTAAAAGAATATTATTGAAAAAATCGTTAAAAATTTGTAATATTTTAAACTTAAATTGTTAAAATAAAAGATTTAAATCAGATAATGAACTTACTTCATTAGTGTAATTAGAAATACTTTCATAGCAGCTGTCACTTTCTTGTGGTAAGCAATATTTTTTCAGCTATAATAATGTATATACGAGTATAAGTGAACACTGATTAAGTTATATTAATGTAAAAAAAACCTTCTAACGAAACATTTTGAATTACAATTTTTGTAATGAGTTTTTAAATTAATTTTATATAAAATTTATATCAAGAATTTTTAAGAATTAGCACAAATAACAGTAATTAATATAAAAATTATTAGACAGTAAATTTACATTTGCTGAATTTCTAAAGTAACGTTGTTCGATCACTAACCCATCCATAAGCTAGTGATCTCCCTACGAGATGGCTGAAAAGTCTTTCCTAATGTACACGGGGCGGAAAAAAATTTAAAAATCGCGTAACTTCCATTCCAGATCGGAATTTTTTATAAAATTAATCGGCACTTTCGACCTTTAAGCTTTCTATATTTGGTCTCGATTTTCATCTATCTAAACTCGTTCTCGAGATTAAGGAAGGACGTACAGACGGACGGCATTGTAAATGTATAAGTCTTCAAGTAAGAAATTGAAGCCCGAAAAAATGGTATCCTTTTAGTCTTCAACATTTAATTCAGGTCTCATTTCATAATGTATGGAGGAAGATGTATAAGCGTAATTTAGCATATATGCATTTCTAAAGACAATAATTTCTCGTACGGTGTAACAATTCGTACTTTTTATATGTAAGTATGGTATGAATAACGTAAAGAATGTTAGCGAAAGGATGGATTTAGAAACTCGGTAATTATTATATACAATGTATTAGTTCACCAATACATTTACACGGTTTTCTTGAGAATCATTCATTGCAGATCTGGAGAAATATTTCTATATTTATCGACGTAAAGAATCGATTAGTGGCAGTGGTTTCTAACAAAAGTTATTTATTATGGAAAGCCAAATGACACGCATTTCGCTCCTATTCCTATATTGAAATTTATATGTATTTCTGGGTAGATATTCTCCTTGTGCCTTGTTCTATGGTAATGTTAGTAATCGAGTCTTCATATAGATTTTAACTATAAGAATGTTTCTTGTAGCCTTCTATAACAAATGATTTTTAAGAGAAACACGTGGTTTGGTAGACTGATTCATCGTGTATAAAATAATGTTTATAGTTTGTCATATTCATATACGAGAAATATAATAAGAAATTCATATGAAGATATATTATCATCGTCAAATTTATTATTAGAGATTTTTTGAATAAAGTAAAATATTAAATGTTTTATGTCATTCATTAACACAAAACAAAGAATATACCTAATTTGTAGCTTAATAATATTGATACTTACATCCCAACTAAAAAGTGTACAGTTCAATAAATCCTATAATGAATATATTAAATTATTAAAATTCGTAATTTCTGAACAAATATATACCTTATATAATTATATAATTATTATTATTTCTCACGATATAATAATGAAATATTAAAAATTAATATTTCACTATTAATTTTTAATAGTAATATTACTATTATTAATAATAAACAAGCTATTAATTTTACTAATAATTAAAATTGGGTAATTAATTAGATTAAAATTATTATATTTTAACATTTTTGATAGACATTAATTTTTACTTTTATTTAATTTATATTTTATTCACTTATATAAACACTAAATCTTTAAATAATCAATAAAATTTTCTTAATCAAACGTATAAAGATTTAAATAAGTTAAATGTACTAAAGACAAAAACATATATAATAAATAATAAATTTGTATTATATACACTTTAAAAATTTGTTAAATATATAATAAAAATTTTAATTTTTAAATATTTTTATTGTAATTTTTGAAATATATAAAAGAAAATGCTATAAAATTAAATCTTACCTGGTGTAATTTATCTTTATCAGAAGAAATAATTTTATTACAACAAAAATTTGCATTTTTAAGTACCTACATAAAAAGTAATTTATTATTTTATTTTACGAAACAATATAAAGTATTAAAATTTATATTGTTTATTTTACAAAATACAGAATCCAATAGAAATTATAAGTAGACGGTTATTAACTTTTGTATACATTATTTATTAACTCAATATCATATATAAACAAGATATTATGAAATCATACTCAAAATTATAATTTTATATATTAAATATTAATTAATTATACTATAAAGAGATAGAGAGAGAAAATTGCAACAGAATTCAGCGCAATTTTAAATATTAAACTTTTTTTTTTACCTTGATTATATTTACATTCTTTATTATACAATTTTGAAAATTTGATAAGCAATCTTCAGCTGTAAAATAATTATTTTGAAACGATACTATGTCATATATTATTTAGATATATTTTATAAGTATTTTACATTAAATTTTATATATTTATTAATGTATAATACAACAGTAAATCTTATTAGCCGTTGGGTGAAAAAGAAATTCTTTAATGGCAGCACAGTTTGTGGATGAACAATACTTAAAGACAACTATCCCAGTGTTTTCCAACCGAAATTGTTTACTGGGCCAAAACCAAAAGTAAAAATACACTGTGGACCACACATATTTATTTACAGCAAAACATATACAGTACAATTATACAGTATTTTGTATCTTACAATGTCAAATGGACATAAAAAAATATTAAATATATTCTCATAAATATTTAAATATAAAAGTCTTTCTCGAAATTCTCTTAGTAAATTAGTAATTTCTTGTGAATATTTAGAAAAATGTTTTTGTAACTATTAAAATTATGTAATTTTGGACGATGAATTGTACTTTTTGATTTTAACTGACCTTCATAAAGTTTGAGTTTTGCTATGAATACTTCTACTGTGTATATTTTGATAATAGTCTGTGATCAATTTATTTTCATCTTGAAGCTTCTTACTAAATTCGTTTAATTTTATTGTGTAATTATAATTAAAATTTTATTAGGTTTATTTCAAAAAAATTAAAGAAAGCAATAATTCCTTTTAAGAGTCTGTTGATCAGTAAGTTCTATGCTGTTTTCTTTATCAGACTTTATCTTCTATTAATTTACCAATTATTAATAATTTACCAATTATTAGAAGCTTCTTAAATTTGCTACATTTGGATTTCTACAAAACTTCCATATTACACTTTCCTTGATACAACAGACGAATCTAAATATTATAGAAGATTTCATTGGCCAGTTATTGGAAATGTGTTGAAATGTAGAAAATAAATAATTTTATTGCGATTTAAAGAAAATCTGTCTCAAATTTCTGTTTCCCACTGTTTATACAGCAACTTTATGTACGATTATAAGTCAAAAATTATCTCTAGGGTTTTTACTTTTTTCGATTCAACGGTTCTTAAAACATCGAAAAAGGCAAAATAAGTTGAGTATGTTTGGATGTTAGTGGAAAGCATGATTTATTCACGCAATTTGAAGCTTAATAATTCTTGTGCTTTTTGTCAAAAATTTCTGAAATTCCTACGAAGATTTGTGTATAGAGGAAAATGTTGCTAGATATTTTCAAGAAAATCAAACCCTGAAAAATATATTCCCTCACCTTTTTAATATTTTTCGAACCAATCTGAAGACTTATAGGTAATGGTACCAAATATAAAGGATGAAAACAAATAAAGAATGCCGGGAAAGTCCCGCAACAACGTTACCAAATTTTTTTATACGTAATTCATATATACATTTAATACAATAATATAATAAATAGCATTTCTTTAAATAGTGTTAAATAATTTTAATACATTATGTTATAATTCCTTTTAAAACTATTATAATATAATATACTTACAATTGTATACGATATTGCAACTAATATAAACGATAACAATACGAAGAAAGTATTTCATGATTGTTTTCGGTTGTGGATAATTTTATATTTAAGAATATGTTCAATTGAAGTCAGTTTTATAAAATTTATTTATACTTATAGAATATTTTTTCAATATTATATTTCGTTATTGATGAAGATACGGCATATCTTTCGTGATAATTTAAAGAGAAAGATAATCAACTCAAACAATAGATTTAATAAATTTTCTTTGAAATATAAATATAAAATTACATACGAAGAAATTCCAAAATAATCTATTTTATATAATTCGAATTTAATAACAATTGAAATTATTATAGAAAAATTGATACAGAAAAATTATAAACTACTCTTAAATATTGTGATATAAATAATAATGTGCTTGTATTAAAAATTGCATCAACGTCCAATTAATGATGTAATTGTCTTTTAAAAGTTAATCTTAATTTATTCGTTTCATTTTACACCTGCCGAAGGTAATAAGAATAAATTAGGGTTTAGTATAAAATAATGCAAATAGACTTAATTTTTTTAAATTTTTAATTTAAAATGTACTTTATAATTTGCAGTAATTATTAAAAATCTTTTCTGAAAATTATCTTTGCTGAAAATTATATGAAAAATATAGTTTCGTCACAAAGCCACAGGCATATAAAATTTTACTAAAGTTTGACATGGGGCTTTTAGTAACAGGTACAGCAGCCAACGTAAGCGTATAATTTATTTCTTGTGTGATTTTTTCCAGCAATTTATCAAATATTGAGAAACTGAAGCCAATGTCTCAGATCTGCGATGCCAGTAGTTCATTCTTTGTATACTGTATATGCTTTGCTTTACTTATTCCACTGAATAAAAACATAATCTAAAGGCATGGAATCTGGATATCCAGGGAGGCCACGAAATGAAATCATTGCATTCTATTCGTTGAGCCGGAAAATTTGCTGTCTAAGAATTTAAGAACTTGTAATTCCCAGCGTGATGGCTCTCCGTCTTTCTTGAAAACATATCAAATTGCCTTTATTCCCAGGAATACAAAGCATACGAAATTCTAATATATGCAGGCAATTGTCATCTTTCACTGTGTTTTCTTGAAAGGAAAAATGCGTAGAAAACTTCATCACAAAATAATGCTTTTCAAACATTTCCAGTAATAAAACTTTTCCAGGTGTTTTAATCGAGGCAAAAAATCGCAATGTCAGTTTTTGTTCATTTTTTATTAACGTCTTAATCCATTCTATACATTGCAGACTTCTGTATTTTCAATATCATATTAATAAACTGAAAAGGAAAAACAATTTTGCACTCACATTTGCGTTGAATGCTAGAATATATAATAACTAACAATAAACTAAATATCTTTCTGTAATTCAAATCTGTTATAGATATAATAAAAATTAATTTTAAGCCACACAACATATGAAATTTGTAAGTTGCTTTTTTTAAAATCCTCATCAGGAGTAAGTAACAGACAACGTGATTAATCCTAATTAACTACAGGGGGAATATTTTTATTATTATCTAATTTAACTTTCTTTTAAGTCTTTTCTTACAAGAAATACGTTTAACAATAGTTTATCTTGCAATTTAAAGTAAAAAAAAAGGCTTCTGGTATGAATAAAATTGAAAGATTTTTTTACTTAATTTTACATCGAACTTTCGATTATCCATGCTAATTAGTGTACACATGTGCACGGAAAACTGAAAAACACGGATAATCCAAAGTAGCCCCCTAAAGTATTCAGAGGTTTTAAATGAATTATAGTATATATACAGTATACTGATTAAGTAAACGTCTCTTCAATCCGAAAAAATTCTTCCGGTAGTCTACCTCACAGCCAATTCAGGTTATAAAAACTCCTTTCATTGTTTTTTTACAGATGCATTTCGAGCTAGGTAAACTTTCTAGCTCCTCTTCAGTGCCTAAGAGTCTCCATAGGTTTTAATAGCTTAATTTTCACAATTGTACGGTACTTTTAGTCCCATTTACAATATTTTTACACATCTTGAAAAATTACTTTAAGGGCGTGTATCGTGTTATATCGAATGTACAGCTTGCTACAAGGTTTCTTACTAATTAAAAGCATATAATTCTCAAAATTTAACCGTATATGTTGTATAATCTTTGAACACCATTAAAATACAAAAAAGTTTTTCATACGTGACAATGTATAATCCTTACGATATTCTCGTACGATATATATATATATATAATTTAACGCTTGTATCAGGCCATTCTTAGGATAGCCATACAGGAATAGATATTTTGTGTGAATGGCGTGCCTTAATAAAAACTCTTTATTGTGTCGTTTTTAAGCAAAAGTTAATTGAAATAATAAAATACCAACTATCTTATACTACAACACAATATTTAGACAATTTATAAGCGATTTAACTCAGAAACTATGTGTTAGATCAGGTTTTTGAACCATTTAATTAGTGACCTCGACAGGTCATTCGATTTATCTGAAGAATGGATTGGGAGGTGTATGGATAAACACAGGTTTTTCATATTTAATAAATAAATAAGATATAAATTGCGTAAAATTATTGATTTATTGTTTAAAATACAAATAAACAGCATTGCTTAGATACATAATATTGACTGATATCGATTTAAAGCTACAATTAGTTTAAAATTATTGTAAGAAACTATTTATACTGTATAGCTGCATACAGCTGTATCACTTTTCTCCTTTCATGATTTCTTCTGGAAACATAAGTTCAATAATGTCACAGATGAATGTCATATTTTTAACATTTTCGCAAACTTCCAAATTTCTTTCCTATTAAAAAATATATTTTTAATTATTTTAAAATTTCAAAAACTTAAATTAAAATTATATTAAATATAAATATAGTAAGAGTACAGGAGCATGAAATTTATACATTAAAATAATTAATTTTGTTCAAATATAAAAATCTATTTTTAAAGAAAGGTTTAATTCTAGATATCTTACAATTTGATTATAATTTATGTATGAAATTATAAATTAAATATGCCTTTATAAATCTACATTTTATTTATTTACTCACAAAAAGTGTTCCTATGTATTTCATGCATTCTTTGCTATTTTTAGGATGCTGAGATAAAATTAAAAACATTATTATAATCAATTATCTCAATGTTAATATAATTATAAATAACATTATATAATTCTATAAAATAATTTTGCAGTCATTTTATAGAATTATATTTTATAATGATAATTCAATACATATAAATCATAGTCTAAGAATAAAAAGTAATTGCTAATAAATATTTTAAATATAAAATATTTTCTCTTGATATATGAAGTGAAAAACATAATAAAAATTTAAAAAAATTAATTATTTTAAAATATAAAAACATATACCTTTATATTTGATTCGATCATTTCTTCGAAATTATTTAGATTAGCCCATACCTGGAGATATAAAAGTATTAAGAAAGGATCGTTAAAAGTTTTAGACATTTTAAATTGTTAAAAGAAAGATTTAAATCTGATAATAAACTTACTTCGCTAGCATATTTAGAAATTCTTTCATAGCAGATATCACTTTCTTGTGGAATACAACTCGTGTCCGGCTGTAATAATATATTTTTATATATAAATGTACAGTACACAGATTAGATTATATAAAAAATAATCTTCGAACAAAATATTTTAAATTATAACTAATTAAATCAGTTTTTAAATTAATTTTATTTAAAATTTAGATGCATAAATTCTTAAGAAGTAGCGAAAAATTACAGTAAATAATACAAAAATTATTAAACAGTAATTTAATATTTGCTGAGTATCTAAAATGAACATTGTCCGATTATTAATCTACCCGATGTGTAGAAAAATTCGAGGAATAGTCTGATCTACAGTATATATATATATAAGATGTTATTTATATTTTGTCATATTCATGTATAAGTAATACAATAATAATTCTATATGAAGATAGCATCATAATAAATATCTATAATTTGAAGTTTTTTGAATAAAGTAAAATGATACTTTTTTTTCATTTTCTTAATTCATTTTTTTAATGAATTTGTCTACTGTAATCTGTAGCTTAACAAATCATGATACTTACTTCCCAGCTAAAAACTGTACAATTCAAAAAATCCTGTAATAAATACATTACGGTGTTAGAAATAAACTGAATAGAATAAAAAATTATATGAAGTAAAATAATTATCATAGTCGTAAGAATATACGAAGTTAATTAATATTTGTTACACATTATAGAAATACTTAATATGCACATAAAATATGTTATTTTCTCAAAATTTGATAATACAGTTTTACAGTTTAATTTTTTAAATTTAACATTTAATTAGTTAAGATACTAATTTGAAAATTAATTTCTTTTGTTACAGAATTAATCAATTTAAATTGAGTCATTCGGCATTTATACAGAATGATCAGGAACATGACATTATAACTTAGTAAATACCCTCAATACAGAGTCGCCTGTTGTAATAATTAAGACAAGAAAACGCAAATGAAACGAAGAAGAACGGAGAAAAAAATATATAAACAAGCAAATTTACTATAGTTCGGCAGGAAAGACACCGAAAATAAGTTATAGGCACGAAGCAAGTTATTACTGTTGTGCGAAATCTCAAAAAATATTCAGTTTTCTATTGATAAATTTCGCGAAATAAAGCTGCTGTAACTACACATAATTTCATTATTTCATCCTTGAAGCTGACTGAACTAGAGTAGTCTCGTCCAGATCAAGCTGAGAAAAGACTAAACTTGTTGGAATATGAGTGCCAAATTTATGATTGAAAGGTTGCTATAAAAATTTTATGCAGACTAAATGACAGTTTAAGACTAATAATACAGCCAAAAGGAAGAGTAAGCATACAACTATAAATTGTTATCGGACCACTCTGTAACCACAAGCGTATAAGAAAAGATATCGTCAGTTCCACAAGGCTTGAACTTGGTGCTTTTGGAATCTCGCATAAGAAATGGCAAAGTAGGACGATGTCAAAAGATTGCTAGATTTAATTTGAATGAAGTACAATGCCTCGAATTTTCTCCACTGTTTCTCCACTGTTGAGGCCTCAGAAGAAAAAGAAACAAATGAGAATATATATTACAAACAGAAATATTCTCTTGAAATTACTGTTTTATGATTTTAATAACACCTGTTTCTTTCCTGCAATAACAAAGAAAAAAACACAACTTTCGTTTAGGCTATTTAATTATTATTCCATTCGCAGAATGATATATTCAAGTTTTTTTTTTCTCCAAAAGGGGACCAAATCTATAGCTTGTATAACCTGTATCATGATAATACTTTATCGCATATTTGATCTGCCTATTAATATTAAAATGTCTTAACGTAAGATACTAAGATATAAAAAGAGGTTAAGTACATAAACTTTTTTTTTTACTGCATTTAAAAACAATTGTTTTTATACATTAATTTTACTANAGCTTGGTGTACTATAATATTAATTGTTTTAAAATAACGTGATTTATTTTGTAGATTTGATTGAATGACCCCTTCACAATGACCTATTCGAATAATGTTTTATCATATTCGAATTTTCCGCGTGTTAATAATATCTTATATTTCTAAAGATAATTCAGGAAATATTTTGTTATAAAATTTTAAAATTTTAATTTCAATATTATCAAAAAATATACAAATTAAAGAGATGAACAATGATTACATAATTATTAATTTAACTTCATTTTAAAGTTATAACCTATTTATTTATCATACCTTATATGAAGCATAATTAGAATAAATCGATAAAATTTAAACATTAATAAATCAAGTTTAAAACAATATTTATTTGTTATTTGGCTAATTTTTTAAAACTAAATTTTAAGAAATCGCGATTTGGAGATTTAATAACGTTAACTTACAATTTATTCCTGAATCATCAAATATCGAATGAATTCATCCGATTAAAAATATAACAAGTTTAAAAAGATACAACAATAAAGCTATTTATAAGAAGGAAATAAAAATATTCACAAGGAAATTTCAAAATATGTTAATATTTACAAAAATTAATTATTATAAATACGAAGATACGTGACAAACAAATTTAAGTTACATAAACATTTTCCTCTTAATATAATACATGTATATTATATAATAAAATTTCAATAAGATGTTTTTAATAATGCTTTATAATAAATATTATATTGTATCAAATAAACTGGATTAAGAAAGCGATACAATATTCTTAAATTAATATTGTGAGTCACTGTTAAATGCACTACATAAAAATAATATTACATAAAAATATGAAGACGTTTAACGAAAACAAAATATAAAAATTTTTTTAAAAATGAAAATAGTCTTTAAAACTATAATTTAAAAAATATTTTTGGAATAAACTTTATGAATAGTTTTAAAAATAAAAGTTTTTTTAGTCATTCTTCAATATAACTTCTAATTTTAATAATTATATAAGAGGTTTTACATCATACTTTAACAATGTTAAGTATTTTAATTAATACGACGAATCATATAATTATTATGATTGTATTTAGCCTTCATATGTGCGGAAATATTTAATGCAGTGCTTTCCGGGAGAAAGATGCAATTAAATAAGTTTATTTTTTATTTTATTTTCTCCCGTTCTTGTATGTATGTATGAACACAGACTGGTTACGAGTTATAAACGTGTTCACCAATCCATTTCACACTACATTTAGAATAGAAGGAGTTTTCTTTTTATTTTATTCTATTTTATGTTTAACTCCATTTTCCTCTAAGTTAAATTTCCAAATAAATACAGAACTTATTTAAAGTTGTATTATTTTATTGTTATTAATTTTTTAAATCTTTAAGATAATGAACTTTTATAGAAATTTTACATTTGCAACAAGGAAAATATAAAAGTTTAAATTAATATAAACATTATTTAAAATAAAATTTGAGATTTTAGTTATATGAGCATGATTTATTAAAATAATCGTTACTATCCGATTTACGTTTATTATAGACCACGAACAAACTGCAACATTTGTGGACTGAAAGTTGAATGTCTGGTTTGTTTTATATTAATTTAGCTAGTTCAAAGGTCCCATGAATCCAAAAATATAATCATTTTTTAACCGATCGCTATACTTTTCCTCTGTTGCTTCCACACTCTTTTCTGACTTCCGAGAAGTGTGGAAGCAAAAAAGTCTAAGAGGAATTGTAATATGAATGATTGAGATGAAAAAGGAACTTATCGGGAAGTATGAGAGCAATACACGCATGGAGGATTTGGCGACCATGTTTAAGATGCCTTAGTCGATGGCGTGCGACCAATAAATGCAATTTTCATTTTATTAAACAGTATTTAGGGCCTACAAGTGGCCAAGCGGTCTTCGTACCCTGAACACTGAGTTCGGTCGTGGTTCGCGACTCGCTCGGACAGGCTGGCCACGTGGAGTTTTCTGGGTTTTCTCCACGTTTGTAACGCCTAAATAGGGGCCAGTTTTTCTTAAAAAGACCTCCCGGAAGGCATCACCCAAGTGTTGCTGTTGCCATAACTAAACAGTATTTTATATATTGTATCCATTGTTTATTATTTCTAATGAAAAAAAATTATTCGGACTTCGAACGATTCAGAGTTTAACTACCTCATGAAATGAATTAAATTCGAAGTACAAAGGTACGATTATTTTTAGTCTTATTATTTAATATACTTAATAAATATAAAATCATTAATAATATAATGTATACATCAATACATATCATACCTAACTAGAACTTCGTCCTTCATTGGACGGCTTGCGAAATCACGTTAGATCATTAGGGGACGCTACATTAAAGAAACTTGTCACGCTCATAAATGGGGAATTCTTTTCTGTTTTTCGAGAAAAATGGAAAAAGACGATTGATATTCAAAAAATTTTGGCACGAGTTTCGTCGTATTTCGAATTCGGATAGCGTGTGCTCGTTTCTTTGCGTTTTTGCAACGCAAAACTTTTCCATTGACTCAACACAGGGATGACCTTGACTCCCGATATCTGCCATTCTACGACGAATTTTAAAATTCGACCTTCTCACAACACGCCATGTCATTATTTCTATTAATATTCAAAAATGTGGAAATTGACGAGAAGAATAAATTATAAAGGATCAAAAAAATTTATGATTTAATATTTATTCGAAACTTATATCATAAATATTCTTAATTTTTCATTTGATATATTCTTTTCTCGTCGTAATATATATGAAATTTGTTTTTGAATATTTTTAACTTTCTGAAATTCAAAGTAATTAAGTTTAGAAGAAATGTCTTAAATATTATGCGACATTTAGACAATTCCGTAAATAACAATTTGATAGGCCCACCAACGTCCAAGCGGTCCCGTTCCATGAACACTCGGAGTCGGACAGGCTGGCCACGTGGTTCCGGGTTTTCTCCACATCTGTAACGCTTGAATAGGGGCCAATTACCCTTAAAAAGACCTCCCGGAAGGCAGCCCTTTAACTAAATAAACAACAATTTGATAACAGTAAATTTCTATTCGTACTGTACATCAAATTCGAACTTTCATGCATTTTCATCAGACAAATTTCGTGCATTGGTGCTTTCCCTTTTTCGTTTCGGTAACATCACATCATTTGACTAAATCAAATTATTTTGTCTATTTTCTGTTTAGTCTATGGTTTTAATGTTTTAAACAAAATTTTATAGATTTAACATATTTTATGGAAAAATTAAAGTTTTTTTTATCTGAATAAGTGATATTGTGGTTTTTCTTTTTAGCTCCTTGGGTACAAAACACTATAACACGCAACTCGACTTTCGGACATTCGTCTTTCGCACACATTTTTAGAAACATGAAAGTCAGAGACTACTTATAAGCTAAAATATTCAGTTGCGTTTTTTAAATTTATTTAAAAAGAACATTAACATCACTCAAATGAATTAAATCACCACTTTCACGACAATAAATGAATTTATTATTATTAATTAAAGATGCACTCTTTCGTAATCAAAAGTTTATCTTTCTTTTGTTCTTTACTTTAAACGATAGAAGTTTCTCTATTTATTGTTAAATCTCAAATATAAATTTTAAAAAGTATTTACCGAATTTAGAATTGAAATCTCGATTGTTTTGCAATAACTAAAATATTGCGTTTCGTTTCTCTTTTTCAAATTAATCAATAAGAATTGATTGGAATCTCTCAGAGAAAAACTGCTAAGGAAAAAAAAAAACTTTGACAGCCTTCCAACTTGTCATAACTTTT